GGGGCCCTCAAAGCACACCTTCCCAGCCAGCTGGGACCACTGCTGGGGGGGGCGCGTGCACAGGACGGCTGGTGCTGATGGATAAAGCAGGAAGTCATTGCTACATCTGTGTGCAAACCTCTGAAGTTGTCCCCCACTCCCACACCCCCAGAGGACCAAGTGACAGTGAGTGGCCGGAGGTGACTCATTCCGCCTCCTCCCCACAAACCCCAGGCAGCACTCAGCACCAGGGAGAGAGGCCGAGGGGGCTGGGCAGCCGGTAAACATAGTTCTCACTGCCTCGCCTTAGCCCTAGAAGTGGGGCGAACCCCGCTACAGGAAGTCAGGCCAAGACAGCACACAGAGCCCTGCCACGACCTGGGCTCCAGTCCCGGCTGCAGCCCTGGCTTGCTGTGTGCGGGGACTAGTCTTTGACCTTCATTGAAGGCCTCTCATGGTGATGTTAGAAGGCACAGCGGGTGGGATGGGGGCCTTGTTGAGTCTGACTGTAGCATCCTGCCCAAGGGCAGTGCCCACCGTGTGACCTCAGGCAAGGGGTCCCTAGACCCCGATTGTGCATCAGCAGAATGAGGGGCTTGGTCCTGATGAGGGAATCCCTGACTAGCCCGACCACAGGGATCACACGGGGGCACCTGCTATGAACACTCATTACCAGGGCTGCTGGAGGCTTAACCCACCAGAACCTCCAGGGAAGAGGCCTGGGGCGCAGTAACATTGAGCACCCCATGACACAGGTGGTCCCTATGGTCTGAAAAGGTTGTGAAATCACTCCTGGTATTCTTGGAGTTGTTTTTAAAAAGTTAAAAAGGAGGAGGAGATGGAGGAAGAGAAGGAGATGGGGGAGGAGAGGAGGAAGGAGATGGAGGAGGAGGAGGAGATGGAGGAGGAGGAGGAGATGGAGCCAAGCCTTCCAGAATTCTGTCCTGTCACATGAAGAGCCAGGGAGAAGCCAGGACATCAGTCTCAGGGCTTGGACCTCGGTGGGGAACCATACGTGGGAAGGGGAACCGAGAATCAGAGGGCACAGCACGGCGTCCCCGCCTCTCAGCCATGACCTCCACCCCAGCAGTTTGACAAGTTCCCTTTTACTTGTGCTTCACGGTCATGTTGTGCAGTAGACAGGAAGAGTTATTCCCATGTTTACCAACAGGGAAAGCAAGGTGCTGGGAGAGGTGTTTGTCAAAGGCCCCATGGCCAGTGTTTTGCGTGGAGCTGAGTGGAAGTCAGGTGTTCTGGGCCCCACTGGGGAGAAGGAGTGTCGGCCGGTTGAAGGGAGGCTCTTTTCATGTGGGGAGGACAGGGAACCTGGACAGGGATGAGCCAATGAATGAGGGAGGGAAGGAGCAAGTGGGAGAGGGACCGACCCGGCCGCTTCCTCGGTTCTGCTGCAGGCTGGGCACGTCTCTCATGACGGCTGTGTTCACCCTGGGGCCCTCCCTCCATTCTTCCTCCCTTCTTCTTCCGCTGTCTCTTCTACCTCAGGCAGGCACTGAGCAGATGAGACAGGAGGCTGTCTCTGCTGTTAGGAGAGCTGCAGCCTTATCAGGAAGGCAGACAAGTCAACAGGCATGACCACACTACCTCTCCGATTGGACGTCAGCCTTTCCCAGTCTAACTGCACTGTGGTAATGGGCGCGGTGAGCATTCATACCATATAGGCAATCACCCAGCACCTATGGTTGCTGACATCACCAACCCTTCGCTGCCCTCTCCTTAATTTTTTTAAAGTTACACTGTGGATTTAAATTACAAAACTTACAGCATTAAAAAATTAATAAACTCCAAATGGGTATCAGCAGATTTCAACCTGTATTCTGATTTAACCAGATCGTGAGCAGCTATACAATGGGTGTTAGACCAGACCCTCTAAAAAGAGGTGTTACAGTTTTATTTAAAAACCCTCCTCCGTTAGAGTATTCATGTTGTCTCTGGGAAAAACCGTGTCCTGAGACGGTGACTATATATCCGCAGACAGAGAAATCTTCCTTGCCAGAACCTACCTTCTTACAAAATCTGTCTAATGCTGTTTTGTTTTGTT